CCCCCAACAAAGCTAACAGGTGGATCTACTGCACAGATGACAGAGTGGGAATTCAAAACCCTGAGGATCTGCTCATGCCAGAGGAAGAACAATGAAGTTCAGTTTTCATCACAACCTATCAACACGTTTCTGCATACTCCTTTTAATGTATATGATTTAATCATCACCCTAATCCCTTTTGAAATTGAAATTTAACTCTAAACAGGCTTAATTCTGTTAGGCTCTTCTCCTAATAACAAAAAAGGCAGAATACTGTAGTAGTTAAAAGCATAGAATCTGAAGCCAGACTACCTGCGCTCAAATACTGCTTTTACCACTTATTAACTGTGTGATCTTATGGAATTCACTTAACCTCTCTGATGAAAATAATCCTACCTACTAATATTTGTACTATGAGGATTAAATGCCTAGAACATGCATGGTACACATTAAATACAATAGAAGTGCCTCAGTATTACCAGGTATATTATATTAGATATAATACCTAGGACTGGGACCCAAGACATTCAAATCTTGACTTAGCAGATGGGATGTTGCTATAGCCTTTGTCTTCTCATTTGCAAACCGAAAGTGCTGTATAACCAGATGACTCCTAGACTATCTTCCCGCTATAAAATGCTATTTTGCTTTTGGATTATATTTATTTTCTTTTCTATTTTTTTTTTTTTTTTTTTTTTTGAGACAGAGTCTCACTCTCTTGCCTGCCGTGGCATCATCATAGCTCACAGCAACCTCAAATTCCTGGGCTCAAGCAATCCTCCTGCCTCAGCCTCCAGGTAGCTGGGACTACAGGCACGTACCACTGTGCCTGGCTAATTTTTTCTATTTTTAGTTGTTTGGCCAAATTCTTTCTATTTATAGTAGAGATGGGGTCTTGCTCTTGCTCAGGCTGGTCTTGAACTCCTGAGCTCAAGCAATCCTCCCGTCTCGGCCTCCCAGAGAGCTAGCATTACAGGCGTGAGCCACCGCGCCCGGCCTATTTTCTTTTTCTTTACAGCTCTAGTGTGATATAAATTAGAAGTGCTTTCTACTTTAAGGAGAGGAAAACTGAGGCACAGGGAAGGCAAATGGTTTTTTCTTTTAAAAAAGTGCATGATTGACTCAGTCAGAATTAGGAAATTTCAATTTGTCTTCTCACAGCTAAATAAATGACTGGCTTCCTTGCCCCTGACATTTGGAGGAGTAGACCTAGAGTCCATCCTGTCCAATATTTTGTTTCTCAGAATAGCTTCAGACAGCATTTGCACATCCAGAATATTTCTTTAATAACCTGTCACTGAGCTGTCCTCCATTAATTTATCTAAATCTATATCCTAGAATGTTTGACCTCTTGGGGTAATGACCTTCATATTTCGGCCCCAAGCCTACTGTATTCCTCAAAGAACTTTTGAAACTGCACAGCTGAGAATCTTCCCTGGAGCAAGCACCTAAATGATGCCAATTTCAAGGGTGAGGTACTAGATATTATAGGCCATTGATATGATAAAATAGGTGTAAGTGTTTGAAAAGGAAAAAAAAAGTCACCTCTTTTCCACTAGGGAACACATTATCTATTTTTTCATTTCAAGGCTAGTACTTTGAGCTCAAACTCCCCACGGAAAGAATACAGTGAACATCATGGAATAGGGCAAATTAGGTTACCTGCTTGCCTCAGAAATGAGCTTCACTTCCACTGCGCTTTCAGAGCTCAGAGTCTCCGGGTCAGTGCTATGAAAGTACTGTTTTCTCTGTCTGTCTACGGCCCTGACAGATGGACATGAGCCTGGGTTGAGAGGGCAAAGAGGCGAAAGGCAGGCAGATAGGAAAGGAATAATAAGAACAGGTAAGAATGAGGGGAAAGAAGGCACACGCTGCTAGGGAAGACAGACTCGCAGTCCTCAGAGACCGTAACTGCTGAACAACTGTTCTAATTTTGGCTCAGAGAGGGTTATGCTACACAAGTGCTTTCCACATAATCCAGGAAAAAGAACTTGGAGATTTAGATGATTTTTGCATATCCTTAGATATTTGGCAGCTTTACGGATGTCCTCTAGAGCCCAGTTGTGTTTTCGCCTCTTTTTGTCTCTTGTGATATTTTCTCACCTTCGAAAGGTTATCAGAGGTGAGTCTTTAAGCCAGAGTAAACGAGATTCTAAGCATTACCAATATGGATTTAGCCAGCTTCAGGGAAAAACTATGAATAACAAATTCTCTTACCACTGCTTCACTGAGATGAATTCTATGGATAAAATTGCAAACATCACCATCTTTAGTAAGTTATGAAAACATAATCTTAGAAAATATTCCCTTTTATAGAATCTCTTTTGCTGACTTTCAATATATATCAAGCAAAATTCACAAAAACAAGATATGTGTGACATTTGAAATCATATCAAATAAACAAATTTAGAATTATATTTTTATTACTATCTCAAAATAATGAGGTTATATTTAGAAGCATTTTGCCTGAATGCTTTTCTATTCTCTCTAAACAGAGTTTGAAGTTTTCAACTTGCTGTATCCAATTTCTATCTTTAAAAAAACTCATTTTGGGTCCAAGGAAATAAATCTATTCAAATACCACATAGTGAATCTCTTCGAAGGGAGTAGATACGGGGTGATATTTATTTTGCTTTTTGTATTTTCCCACATTTAAAAAATTTTTTATGATAAATATGTGTAGCTTTTATAGCAGAAAAAAAACTAATGGATTAACAAATAAAATTATACACTAAGGCCAGATCTCCACTAGGACAAGATGAGGGCTGATGAATATCTAGGGAACTTAGTGTGTATGAAAGGGTTGGGGAGAGACCACTTTCCCATCATTTTCTTGCAACCCCAAGGTAAAGATTTTCCTTACCCTGACTTGTATTTGCTAGTTGCATTTGTGTGAATCTCACTTAAGTATGAAAACTTTGTTAAGATGTGAATGACAGAATAATCATTCTTTCTGTAATCTGACACCACAACACTAAACTAAAAAGATTAACTTAGCATCTGGAAAATAATTCAAGAAATTGGTTTCTATAATCATCTTCTTAGGTGGAACATGGGAGACAAGACCCTGCCGAAAAGAGTCTGAATGATTTTGGCCAGAACTACAAAATATCCTTTTGATTCAGATTTAGTAGCTAGAACCATTCAAAATGCATAGGAGGATGTAGCAATTGATTTAAAAATAAAAATGGTCTGTCATTAATATATAATTTTTATGAAAATAAATAATATTGTTTGATGGGAGATGATATCCAGAAAAAACGTTCACTGGTTAAAAAGAAAAAACAGTCCATTAAAACAAACCACTTTGCTGTCCTATTTCTGCGTTGACCTGACGTCTATGGCTTACCACTCTGAATATACATTTGTGGAATTCAAGAAAAGGCATTTTTGTCACATTAGCGAAATTACTTTAACAGTATTTTATGTTGGTCTTTGATTTTTCATTCTAAAGGGATATACAAATGCTTGGGTCAATGAACAGTGCATTCAAAACTCCTACAGAGAGATGGAAGAGGACCTTGCTCCGTCCACTCCACCCATGGACTCGGTGTTGCAGAAGCTCCAGGAACGGTGCATCCCCTCGGGGGAATAAACAAATAAACAAACAAACAAACCAAAAACCTAACACAACTTCTGTGTTGGTGCCACTATACAACTATCTACAAGACAAGAGGAAGAATGTGAAAGGGAGAACGTCACACCAAATCCCTCCTTTTAATAAAAGGGGGGAGGCATCTTCGGTTTTGTTTAATACTTACCTAGAACATAGAGTGCTCCATAATTATAGCTCTCTGACCCAGAATGCTGTATACACATCCCCAAAGCGAATTTATCACAGCACCATCATTGAGAGGGAAAAAGAAAACATCAGATCTGTTATGGACGACACTCCCAATTTCTCGAGATTTTAAACCCGCTGGACAAAACTGATTCTGGAGCAAATTAAGGCAGGGGCCAGGCAGCAGCCGCGAGGAGGGTGGGCGCAGGGAGCAGCCGGGGTGGAGCGCACAGCTTACCTTGAACTCCTTCTCTATGTTGGCCAGCTTGGCCAGCTCGTTGCTGAGCTCCAGGGCTGTGAGCACCGGGTCCTCGCTGGACAAAGACAGGTACGCCGGGCTGGCCAGCCCCTTGTAGGCGTTGATCCTCGAGCGCGAGTGGCTGAAGGAGTCGTGTCTCTGCTTCTCCGTGCAGTCCCCGCACTTGCAGAAGTAGTCGTGCGGCCGCTCGATCCTGGCGCCCTTCATCAGCAGCATGTGCACCACTTCGTACTTCTGGCAGTGCGCCGCCAGGATGATGGGGGTGATGTCGGGCGAGAAGCGCGTGCCGTCCTCGTCGTAGGCGTAGAAGTCGTCGTCCTGCAGCTCCTGCTCGCAGGGGCTCAGGGTCAGGCGTTTGCTGGCCGCGAAGCCGGGGTGGTTGAGGATGGCCTCCACGATGCGCACGTAGCCCTTGCTGATGGCGAGCAGCAGGGCGTCGCCGATGCGCGCCAGGTTCTCCTTCTTGAGCAGCAGCTCGGTCACCTCCAGGTGCTCGTTGCCCACGGCCAGCTGCAGCGCGTTCTGGCCCATGTAGTCCACGCAGTTCACGTTCAGCGTCTTGGACTCCTCCAGCATCTTGCGCACCACCGGGATGTTGCCGTACTCGGCGGCGTCGAGGAAGCGCTCCTCCTCGGCCGTGAGGCTGGTGCCCCGGTCGTTGAACATGAAGGCCGGGCCCCGGACGGCCTGGCGCCGGCCCTTCTCTCGCATCACCGTCATGCGCCTCAGGGATGGGCTTCCGTCCATGGACCTAATCAGCAGCAACGATAAAACGCTGTAGAATATTAGGGGATACTGTTTCCTCCCACACACCGGGGGCCCTTTCTGCAGACCTGTGGCCTGCGGGAGGCCGGCTCAGTTGCTAATGAGTCGGTTGCTAACCACGCCCCTGAAATTGACACCTGTATCTAGCATGGGCTGTTTTATCCCGGAGAAGAGCTTCTAGTTTGGAACAGGAGATCCTGTTCTCCAGAAAATGGCATTCAGATGGAATAATAATAAAAACAATCTCCACACATCCAAGCCTCCCTTGTGACCCCGGTAAAAATGGAACTCATCGTATCTTGTGGCAATAACCTTACTCCTGCTCTTGGAAATAGAGGATAGGAGGTGCTTGGCACCAAAGCACTAGGCTTTAAGGCTAAAAGAAGCACATATTTTAAAGAATTAGGCCAGAACAGTCCTCTCAACTCATTGAATACTTTTAACTAAATAAAATCTTTGACAACAACAACAAAACACTCCAGTATTTAGGCCAAGTACCATCTTGCAGGATCTTCGTTTTATTATCTTTTTCTCTTACGGGTATCCCCCTCTCCAAATTATAGGATTCATCTTTTCAAAGACAGACAAGATTTAGCAATTATAAAATTTGAGCATTGACCTAGATTTATTTTATTGAAAATAACTGTGCCTTTGTAGTAAGAATTGTTTAATTACCAACATTATATATTTGCCTCTTTGAACTAAAAAGATATGGTTTGATTTATGGTCTAAAAACCACTAGTATTATTTTGTGAATAAAGCAACTAGCGTTAATTGTATATCCAGATCAATGCTCGCTGAAATCCTAACACCAACCACATTAGTTGAGATTTAGCTACATTATAAAAATCATATCATTAACTCATGCGTGCAGTGATTTGAGTTCACATCTTAATTTCTTTGACATTAGGTAAATAATTTCACTTCCTTGTGCTTCCTCACCCCAAGTGTAAAATGGAAATTTATAAAGTTCTCCAGATTTTCCTCGTGAGCTCATGAATAAAAAGCTTTTCCAGAAATTCTGAGTCTCTGAAAAACAATGCTAAATAAACAATATAATTTTAACATTATGACTATCTGTAATATTTCAATGGTCTGTACAATATTTCAGTGGCTATTGAAATATTGCACAAATGTACAAACCTGCATCATTACTTGTACCTTGTACATTCAAGATAACTTCCTTTTAAAAATCTGTGATTGGGGGTGGTGGTGATGAGTTGTACCAAAATATACCAGATAAAGCTTTTTTCACACTACTGACTTTTGAAGCAAATAAGTCAAAGTTAAAAGTGAATGGTTGGGCAGGGCTCGGTGGCTCACGCCTGTAATCTTAGCACTTCAAGTAGGTGAAGTGGGAGCATCGCCTGAGGCCAGCAGTTAGAGACCAACCTGAGCAAGAGCAAGACCCCATCTCTACACAAAATAGAAAAATTAGCCGGGTATGGTGACGGCTGCCTGTAGTCCCAGCTACTCGGGAGGCTGAGGCATAGCCCGGGAGTTTGAGGTTGCAGTGAGTTATGATCGAGTACCTGTTACCATTGAAAAAACCGTATTCATAGAGTCAGGAGTTGAAAAGTAACTAAAGAGGATGCTGGCCTCCCTGGGGGCCTGAGCTGGACAATGAAATTGGGAAGCTTCTCTGGCATCAGAGGAATCAGAGGTGGTTACCAGTCCCCACTCCATTCTCAGCTCTGAGGGCCCCAAACCAAAAAGGGGCACAGAAGCCACTGGCAGAAGTTTTCCCAGATAGAGATTGAACCAAATGTGGCCAGGCAAACCTGAGACTACAGAGGAAAGGACACCAAAGAGATCCCCAGAGAGGCTTGTTTATTTATCCAAGGGCCGAGTGCTGTGACTGGCACCCTATTCTAACTGCTCAACTAGTGTCAGGTGATCAACTTCTAAAAATTAAATAAACATATTCATTTTATATACACACACGTATTTGTAGCAATTTCTCGAAATGAACAGAAAAAGCTTTGAATTATAGTTATATCTGGGGCTCTGAGGACTGGCACTGAGGACCTGCAGGGGAATGGGGACTTTTACTTTTCAGTTACACCCTCTTGCACATTTTGAATAGTTTTAACCACAGTATGAATATTTTTTTAAAAGTAAAATTAATGTTTTACATTTTTATTTTAATCCCTTAGTTGACAAAAATGTTAAACTGCAGGTACTTATTGGCAGCCATTACATTATCATCTTTCTGAAGCTAAATAAATGCCACATATTTGGCTGTTAAGAGTAGGGTGTGATGTGTAGGGTAGGGTGTGGAGTAGGGTGTATGGTGTGTGGCACGTGTGGGAGACGAGGGGGTGCAAGGCTGGGCAGGGTTGTGCGTGTGTGTTTTACGTGTGTCGGTCTGATGATGATTTTTAGGTGGAAAAGAACTGGGAAATAGCATTCACTGAACTGCACAGAAAAGAACTTTGTTTCAAGACCAAATTCTATGTGACAGGATTTTAAACAAATCTTATAAATATTATTGTAATAAATGAGTACATTTTATTACTATTAATGGTATTGACTTCATTGGGTTAAGGTTTTTACTATTAAGCTATGAACTGGTACTCTTCAAATGGTTAGAATTTCCATGTTGTATAAAAGATTACATATCTGTAAGAGAGAATATATATGCAGAGTATATATGTCAGCAGAATTTCAATTTATACTCAGAAGGTTATCTTTGGGAAATAAACTCTTATTCAGTGTCACATCTTGGTGGAAGGGCTTTTTTAATTTAATAACTGCTACCTACAAGGAAAATCATTTATAAAACCACCACCATTTACCCCCAAAAAGACTGGTTTGAGAATACCAGGAAATGATTCTTTCATGAATTTTTATTTGTATTTCTTAGCATTTTTAAGTTTTTCTTAATATTTCTTCTTTCAGAATTTATATCTTCATATTGTATATTTGAACTGAAATGTGCGATTTTAGTATTATACAGCACAAAGTATATGAGTAATTTTTATTTTGTCTTTAAAATATTCTAAGACTGAGTTAAGTGTGAAGTCAGATATCTCAAGTAGAATAAACTATA